AAGCAAACTTCTTCCCTACAAGTTGCTGAGGTTTTGGTGAAGGCAGATCGTGCATGCAAAGTCTTTGGTATTTCTGAACACGGTGGCAGGGGGCACAATTTGTGCTGTTACTTCTCAGAAATGAGGTAAATAGTATGTTGAGACTATTTCCGTGAAAAAGGGGAAAATAATATGCTGAAATGATGATCCTGTCAAAACACTTCTGCTGTACTGTCCTCTCGTTGGTGACAGTACCGATGACGAAGGTATTTTGTAGACAGTGAGCGTCAAGAAGCTGTCTCTAAAATGTTGTCCTGGCATGTTATTAGTATAGAAATTGGCTCACACCCAGATGCCTTATAGATCTTAAAAGATCAATGGCTGGGCAAGAGAGCAAGAATGTGAAATACAAGTGTGTGCTTGTGCATGGTTTGCCTGACATTACCCGCATCTCCTGTGACTTCCATGACTACCTGGGTGGCTTGCAGAAAAGCTGGACCTGGGGCCAACTCAAATCCCACCAGCCCAAGGGAGAGTTTCGTTGAAGAATGGCTAGGCAACAGTTCCAGCCTTGAAGTTAGATGCTCAGGTCTGTGTTCAGGCCTATTGATAAGTTCTAATTTAATAGTAGTCTGTTGCCACACATATTTAGTGTGTCATGCCGACACCTCAGGACTACAGTGGTTTAAAGACTCCCAGCTGCTTATATTGGTGGCCTGGCAGTAGTCTTGGCCAGGTGGGTAGGCAGTGGCCCAAATTGAGATAGCCAGCACTGACCACACTGAGTTTGCGTGGATCAAGTTGCTTCTCTCTGATTTCAGAGCAATATTATTGTTTACTGTTTGGTCTGCGATAGCACCCAGAAGCTGGAGGTGCTGGTGGAGGTTGGTAGTGCCAGGAGGAAGAGAAGGAAGAGGAGAAGGAGGAGGAAGTGCCTTCCCCAAAGAACCTGCAGCCCCAGCTCCCTCACTCGGGTCTGAGGCAAATAAAATGAATGTTTGTGGCTTGGTGAAAATGCCCTTGCTTTATCACTACCTGCCTTTGGTGGAGGTGCCCGAGACCAACCTCTACCATATGAATTTCAGAGACCAAAACAGAAAATCTGAATTGGCTGAAATAAGGGAGAATCTCTTAAGCCCAGCCTATTTTTAGAAGATCCTCTGTGGAGAAAACAAAGTCTAATTAAAAACAGACTTTATTGTTGCAGTAACCCACCATTTCACATGTGACCCTGGGAGTCTTCCACCTCTCTGGGTTTGTTAAATCTTGTTGTTAACTGCCTGAGTCCTGCTTAGTTTCAAAGTCAATACTGAATACTACCTTCTCCACCATATCTTACTATTTTCAAGGCACAAAATGAACATCGCCCTTATTAGGAAGCTCTGCTCTTAAATATTTATTTTTAGAGAACACTACTTATAATGATTTAATGTCTCTTCTTTTGGTAAATGTAGACTCAGTGGTTTTGTGTGTGCTAATCTCCACTTAATCTTTCTTACCGCTGCAAATAGCACGGGGGAAGAGATGTTTTTGCAGAATAGTGTAGCTTGGAAATTGTGCTTTTTTAATTACCAGCTGTGAAGAAATCTTTTTCCACCAGTTGACTTGCATACTTTTTAGTGGTATAACAGGTTCTGAGGGGAGATCTCCACCACAGATAGCAACATGAACTTCCCTCCTTAGGAGGCAATTGCATGTTGTATCTATAAGATTCTCCTGAATAGATTGTCTTACAGTTACTCCCTTTGTGGTGAATGAAGTCAAGGGGCTTTGGTCCTTCCCTTTAATAGCCTCTACGCTTTGCAGGCTGTAATTTTCAGAAAGGCTCAGGACAGGAGGCACGCCTCTGGGCATGTCTCTGCTTCCCTTCCCTAGCGAGCCACCTCCATGGCACTTCAGCAGAGCAGCAGATGGGAGCAGCAAACACAGTTGGCCAGAGGGCAGAAATCCTAGCAATGAGTCCTCACAGACAACAGCTCCTTACTCTGTTTTGGTCTTCCACAAGCTGACACCATTACTATCCCCAGTGTCATCATTCAGAAGTCATCAGCAGCTGCATGCCAAAGGATGCTCAAGGATTTGGATGCAATATCCGGACATCCATGCTGCAAGGGACCATGATGGCAGGGAAGGGAGCAGCAGCCCCCCTGTGAGGGATGCGCTGGGCTCCAAGGACACCTCTGTCCTTGCTTTTGGAAGCTAACAGGGAATTGTGGGATCAAAGAGAAGGTTTGCAAGGTCTTGAGAGGTTTGTTAAAGCGTGTAGCTCTGAACCTCCTCCCACAACGTGCTGTCATAGGACTGGCTTGGGAAAACAGCTGAGAAGTAGGATGAGAGCATCCAGGGCTAGCCTAGGGATGGGGTGGTCCAGCCTGTGGGCTTCCCACTGTGACCGAAAGCAAGCAATGGAGATATTCTCCCTGTTACGGCAACGAGGACCTTCACAGGGCCAGTGCGGGCTATGCAACTTGGGTGCACCTCAGCCCCCCACATCCCTGCCTCACCAGGACCAGCAACAGACAATGGCTGCAGGCAGGGGCAGCACATCAGGAGCAGCTGGGAGTGCTGGATGGGGCAGCAGTGCTTACCGGGATCACCATTTCTCAGCTGCCAAGCTCCCTTGCCAGATGGCACCATCTCGGAACGGCACCATTAGGGGCACCTGTGGCTGCTGACCTGCTGCAAGTGGAGGTGGTGATGAGAGTATATGCGAGCACGTGACTGATCAGCAACGAAGCTCCTCTTACTTTCCATCCCCCTTGTTTGGGTGCGAGCAGACCGTGAGACCTAACAAACCTCAAACCCACTGACAGTGAGTTGCAGAGCCTCTAATTTCCGCCCTTTGCTAGGCAGGTCCCCTGAGCCTCAGTCAAAACCTCCTTGCTCGTGCAAGAGCTCAGTATCTTCCCACTTTTACTCAGCAAACTGCCAGCAGCCTGCCCCACCCCCAGACACTTGCATTCAATTACCCTGAATTTCATCACAGAAAGCAAGTTTTGCCTGGCCACAACTTTGAAAGGGGCAAAAACAAATGCCACGGGTCACAGCCTGTTATAGCTGATCCGCTCTCCAGACTTGCCACCTTTTTTTTTTTCCTCCCTGTTATGTGGTGTTGGTGTTGGATCATCCTCCTGGCTGGACAGATCTTACAGGAAACTCAGTTATTAATCAGATTTTGCAGTTTGAGGGGGGGGAAATAATGTTATAAATTGCGATTTAAGGAAAAGTTGCAAACACAAGTGGGTGAGCAGAAAGCTCTCACTGTCCTTCTGAAACAACTGCCACTGTTTCTCTGTAAAAACACACTCGTACTTCCTCTGCTGCAACTTCTCACGCCACTCAAGTTCCCCAGGGGAAGTAAAGAAGAAAACTCGTCAGAGAAAGAGATCAGGAGTGAGAGAGATGATGACTTACTGTACCAATGGCACAATTTGGGGATTTTGGGGCATATAATAGACATAATGCCCACGTGGTTCTCTGGGTTGCTACCATTACTAACCATCCCTATATTTGAAGTAAATTAAACAGTAAACTTAAATATTAAGAGCTCTTAAAATCAAGGGAACTAGTTAACAAGGAAAGCCTTTGACTAAGGGATAGCATGCGTTACGATTGAACGCTAGTGCCGACAGGGCAGTAGATGAAAGTTGTACCTGGGTTGCATTCACGGTTTCCCTCAGGCTAGAGGATGCAAAAGATGGCGTACGGGCATGTCTGCAGAGCAGTGAGAGGTTGCCCATGTCACCCTGACCCAGCCATGATGGGAAGGAGTCCCGACATTTGCCTCTGCATCCTCTCTAAACTGTGGTTGTCAGCTGAGCAATACCTGACTAACGCATACCTGAGGGATGCTAGAGGTGGTTTTCAGAACAGGACTCAAACGGCCTTGCCCAGGTCACATTTCTGTAACTGGTTTGGGCCTTGGTTTATTAACCAGCTCTCGCTGAGTGTAACACTTAAGTCACACCATCGTGGCACAAGGATCAAGGTGTGAAGCCTGTGGGATTAGAAATCCCATACAGCTTCCCCAAGTATTCAGGTGTCTATGTGCCTACATCAAAAAGGGCAGCCTTTTGCTAATTTTTTTTTTTAATTGCTCTCAAGAGCATTCCTCCCTATAATCCCAGCTGCGAGAGAAGCAAGAGCATAAGCCGATACTCGGATGCTCGGTCAAGTCCCATCCTGCCACAGCCTGAAGCAACGTGCTACACTCCTACTGACGACTCAGCTCGACTCCTACCAACCTGCTGTCGGCAGGAGCATTAGCTCAAGCTCTTCAGGCCACGCAGTCCCCCCCTTACCCAAACAGTGGAAGCGTTTAGTAGAATGACTTTCTCAGAGGTGTTTCTTATTCTGCTGGGTCATTCATTCAAATGCCAAAATTGTGACTCATTAAAAGGGCAAGCTTGGGCTGGGGGGGGACAGGAAGAAAGAAAAATAGCTTGCAAGAGCCTTCCTGTTTATCCACGGCCTGGGAAAAAAACAACACAACAGAATACACACGCCCTTGGCTCCATTATCTTTGTTGGCACAGCGCTGGCTTGGCTCTGTCCCTTGCCACTCCAGGCCAAATCCAGCCCTGCTGCGAGCATGTTTACTTTAGAGGAGTTTACTTGAGAGAGAAATCCGGCCCCCGGAGCCTGAATGCTTGCAGTGTGCGAGTGAGCGCACAGGCACTGGGAGCCCCCGTGACAATGGGCCACGGCGCTGGCCGCCCGCG